CATATAAAGAATATGTTTTCAATGTAGGCATGTAGGTATGAATATTCAGAATTCAGTATACATAAAGTTACTGTGTTTAAATAAAAATAGTCTTAGATTCATTGCTGATTTAATTTGAAACTCTCTCCTACCTTAGAGAAAAGTCTCAGGAATAATAAATCCAGGTTATTTTTTCAGTACCCTAAGGAAAGCCCCTAGCTGTCCTTGCACACTTTCAATTGTGTTAATATTGTAGTTGCTTTTATTTGAAGAGTAAAAAGGAGGGAGAAAAGTAAGTAGTCATTTCTCAAGTTTACAATTCTGTGCCAGTTACAAACCTTTCTTAGTTTTACCTGCTGCTAAACTTCATCTAGATGTACACCTCTAATCAAAGCAAAGAGAAATCAGATACAATTGGGTTACTTGCTCAAGGCCTTTCACTAGTGTTGTTTTAAGTGTGTTTACTTTTACCCAGCACATTAGAGATTAAGACACTCTGGTTTTCATTGTTATGCCTTGCAAAATGTGTGATGCTCTTCATCATACCCTCTTTCTATCGATATTGCTTCAAGGATCTAGCTTTAAACATTCATGGGGGCAGAATGAGACCTGCCTGATCCACAACAGCTCTAAATGCTACTCCATGATCACCTTTGTGCTCAACAGCTTTGAATGTTCTGAGCACAGATATTCTTGCTGCCACCTCTTCTGCCACCTCCATTGCTTTTTCTTAGCATATGTTCAGAAGCTGCAAATCAAGCTTGTATTATTATATATGCCTAAGGCTGAGCTCTTAAACACAGGTCATCTACATGACGCATGGTCAGCTGTGTTACAACACTTTGTTCTAACAGTTTAATTCATTGTAAGGGTTATCTAGTTATAAGAACAGTCCCACTGCCTTTTCTAGTATTGCTTATGGAGGAACGGGCAATTCAGAAGAAAGGAGTGTATGATCTGACCTAGAACACTCCAAGATCTTGTAAGGTCAAAAAAGGTAGCATGAGAGAAACAGGATTTTGATAGAAAAGGGAATGAATAATCAAAATGATAGTCCTGGCAGGAGGTCAGGGCAAATTGAGAAGATAGAGCTGGGAGTGTTATTTAAGGGGAAATGGCACTTTTTGGTTTTCATTCTGGACAGATCATTAATATTAAAATAATTGTTATTGAAAAAAAAAAAATCTCATTTGCAGAGTCTCAGAGTTGGAATAAATGTTTCTTTCTGTGCTTGACTTGAATAGTAGAAATGATAAAAAAAGCCAGTCCAGATAGTTGATGTTAAAAAAGGGCATGTTCTGGAATACAGCACTACTAAGTATAGGAGCATCCATGCTTCTTTATCTTATTCTTAATAGCTGCGGACACTTTAAAGTTAGATTAACTTGTATTTTCGTGAAGACTAAACAGTTCAATTTGCATGGAGAAAGGAAGAGGAAGGGAGAAAAACAGAATAAATTTTCAGGAGGGACTGTAAGAGTTCTCATAAATACAACAGGTCATTGCTACTGCTTGGATCATCACCAGAAATTTACATTTTTATTCCCATAAAGCATGAGGTATCTTGCAAGTTAGCATAAGGTTTTCCTTGGGCATTTTAATGCTTTTATATCTTTCTTTCTGCATTATACATGCTCAGTTATTCAGAGACCTAGAAGAGACAGCTGCAGAAGCAGAGGGGAAAGACATGTTGCTTTATCTGACTTGCCATCAGTTGGTAAAAAGGTTTGGAACTGTTTCCTTTATGAGTAGGTTTGTGAGGCAGAGACTGGCCCAACCTACATCCATCTCTGTGAATTAACTTTGTACAAAAAACCCTAAGCCAAAACGAAAAGCCATTTACATTGATGTGTGCCTTACAGAATCCTAAGATTCACAGAGTCATTTTTAAGACTGTAGTTGAAAGTCCACAATCCACACTTTAGACAAGTAGTTCATCTGTTAGGCAACACTGAAATCTCTTTAATATGACCCATTTCTCTGTAGGCATACAGAAAATTTCCAGAAATCAGTGCTGGAAACATGATAGATAGTTCAGAGTTGTCATCATAGAGTGTCAATGTAACTTCAACAGGCAATCATGTAAAAGCACTTGGCTACTGTAGCAAAAATAATGACTTTGGTTCACTCTGACTTTCATTTTTGTTCTAAAAATAGAGTGGAAACCAGATGAAACTGCTAAGGCTTTGCCAGGCTTGACATGGTATTGTTGTTTTTTATGCAGGTTCCATTTAAAATAAAAGGTCAGGCGAGATGTACTTGAAACTCAGTCCTAACTCTGAAAATATTTGCCAGTTATAGCAAGTCTGGTTCAGTTTTCTGGTTTGTGATGAGAAATTAAAACATTTTGTCATTGAATTCAATCATACCACACTGAAGGACAGACAGAGGGTTTTGAGTGGGTTTCTTTTGGTGGAAATCCTGTCAGAAAATCACCGTATATTCCCAGTTCCTCAAGGTGACCTGAATAATGTTTTGTCTTTGACTCATAGGAATGAACCAGTAAATTACTTTATTTGCCATTAGGGCACAGTTGAAGATAATGGTGTTCATCTTTTTTCTACTCCCTCCAGAATATGAGGAATTAAATGGACTATGTAACAATTGTGTAAACATTCTTAGGACATATTCAAGCCATTCAAAAACTATAATAAGATATATGTGGTCATATGAAATGCATTGTTTCTTATGCTTTGGATTATCTATTAATATGCAATCATTTTTCAGCTTGAACAGAATTCTGTGGAGCACACAGGAACTTGGGCTTCCATCACGTAAAAAAAATCAGATAACATATGGTAATATTTTAATCTCTGGTACTAGACTCTCACTCAGTCTCTCAAAGTTGAACAAGCTCAAGAGTTCTCCAGACACACAGCCAGAACATCTGACTCCTTGAGAAGGAACTGAACATGCTGTCTAAAGCACAGGGGAGAAATTCTGACTTCATTGAAGTCAGTAAAAAAAAAAAACAGACTTCTGCAATGCTACCTAATTGCAACCTAGAACTGCCATGAGTCCTGTGTAGAAATGGACAGAAAAGAAAATCTTGTAGTAAGAGATCAGTACCAGGACTCTCTTTAATTTGATGCTGCTGCAAATTTCCTAAGTGAAGGGAAAAAAAGAAACAAAGGGTACTGAAGGAGCTGGCAGAGAGCCTAACCAAACCACTTCCCATTATTTCTCAGCAGTCCTGGCTAACCATGGAAGTCCCAGTTGACTGGAGGTTAGCAAATGTGACACTCATCCACAAGAAGGGCTGTAAGGAGGGTCTGAGGAACTACAGGCCAGTCAGCCCGACCTCTGTGCGGGGGAAGGTTATGTAGCAGATCCTCTTGAGTGCCTTCACACAGTCTGTACAGGACAACCTGATGATCAAGCCCAGTCAGCATTTGTTTACGAAAGGCAGGTCCTGCTTGATTAATCTGCTGTCCTATGACAAGGCGACCCCTTTAGTAGAAGAGGAAAGGCTATAGATGTTGTCTATGCAGGCTTTACTGAAGCCTTAGACACTATTTCCCACAGCATTCCCCTGGAGAAATTGGGTGCTTATGGTTGAGCTGCTGGATCATGTCTGAAGAAGGACAGTGAAGCTGGTGAAGGGTCTGGGGAGCAGCTGAGGGAACTGGGGTTTTTTAGTCTGGTGAAAAAGAGACTCAAGTGGGACCTTATTGCTCTCTACAGCCACCTGAAAGGGGGTTGTAGTGGTGTGGGTGTTGGTCTCTTCTCCCAGGTTATGAGGGTTAGGACAAAAGGAAATGAACGCAAGTTGCACAAGGGCGGGTTTAGATAAGACGTTAGGAAAAATTTCTTCAATGAAACTGTTGTCAAGCACTGAAACAGGCTGCCCAGGGAAGCTGTGGAGTCCTCATCCCTGGAGGCATAGATGTGTAGATGTGGCACCTAGGGATATGATTTAGTGGTGGACTTGACAGTCTCAAGTTAACACTTGGGGAAAGGACTTTTCCAGCCTAAACAATTGTATGATTCTATTTTATGTTTTGAACTTTTAGTATAAATAATAAAGAAGTTCCTTTTGTGGTCATTTTGATAATCTCTCTTTTCTCTTGCTTAATCTGTCTGGTTTTCTGGGGAGTGATTAATTTATCTAAAATGAGGAATATGATGGAAAAAAACAGGAGGTGGGAGGGTAGGTGTACATTTTCTTTCTCTTCTCTGGACTCTTCATGCTCTCTTCTATCCTTTGTCTCCTTTCTATCATTTGTTCCTATTGCCTACCTTACTTCTTTTTCATGCCTTCATTAATAAATGATGTTTAAACTTCCCTAGCTAACCTATGCCTTCTCTTCCCCCCACCCCCATTCCATTTTCTCCTGTCATTGTCCAAAGTTGTAAATTCACATCCTGTTCTCTAATCTGTTCCTCTTCCTGTCATCACTTTATTTCAAACTTGCTCTCTGCCCTGCCTCAGCATTTTTAAAATGCATAATTGTCTCCCCTCTTCTCTCCTTCTTTTAAAGTGTTGATACCATATTCACGCAGCAGGGATGTGTGAAGTAGAGACAGGGATAGCAAGTCAGGAAGGAAGCTTTTATATCCATAAAATGACAAAGCAGCAGGTATCTGCAAATGAATGTGGTTGTACCTGAATTCTCTCCCCATCCTGGGACCAATACTGGTAGAGAAGCACACTGTGAAAACACTGAACACACAGTCCATCAGCAGTTTACGCAGTTGCTTTTAGATTTAGGCCACTCCAGCATAATTCAGGAAAGATGGAGCTAACTCAGCCTAATTTTTAACACAATAGTAGTTTACTTTCAAATGTAATAAACCATAAATCTTTTGTTTTGTGTCTTGCTGGCTAAAAAATATGACTACCTTTAAAACTGTGTTCTTTTCTAATGGGAAGAGAAATAGGGGGCGTAGTGGAAACCCCAAGAAAGAGTATAAAGGGGAAACAGAAAAATTAATAGAAACAAAACTTTAATTTCTCTTGCTGAACGTATATTTAAAAAGGGGAATATACCACAATAATCAACCAGGTTTTTTGCCTTCAGCCTGTCTGAGGCCATGTGGTTTGGAGATCTGATCACTAGTCCGAAAAGGAAAGGCTGTTTGCAAGATTTCTGGGGTGTTTTTTCCTGGAAAAGGTGAGAGGACAAAAGCAGAAATATGTGACATACACTTTATGCCTTATAAGGAAATTAATTGTCTAACTATGTCTGTCTGTCTATCTATCTTTCTATCTATCTATCTTTCCACATACATGTAGAGAGAGATCCGTATGTTTCAAGCTGTCACTAAATTGATTTGGAGGCAGGTATTTTTTTCATTTAATGCTCTGAGGGTTAGGTTAAAAACTAAATCTAATACACGGCTTGAACCAAGTGAATAGTATTTTATTATTTGTTTTTTTCTTTCACATTCACTGTTCAATATTTTCTGGAGTTATGCATGGTGTTTCTATCAGTAAACAGTTCTTACTGCTTGGAGACAGAACAATGCCAAAGCAGAAGATAGTGTTTGAGCATTCAAACCGCATTTTGTAACCATAATGCTTGCTTAATACATCTCAAAACATTTTGTCTTGTACAATATCTGTGTAATTTTGAAACCATTTCTAAACTGTTGTTTTAGGTGAGCATGAGTAGCTGGCTTCTTGCTGTATAAAATCAGTCATCACTTTCTCATTTGTGTTTGAGCTGTCATCCAGTACTCTTGTTTTCTTTAATAGTGTGAACTTTGTTTCTGTTTCTCTTTTAAACCTCTGTTTTCATTCCATTTTTATTTTAAACAGGTTCATCAGGCAGTCCTTTACCCATTCCATTATTTTGTGGGGTTTTGTTGGGGTTTGGGTTCGTTTTTGTTTTTTTTTTTTTTTTTTTTGTTTCCTTTTTTTTATTGATGTGCTACTAAAACAATTTTCTAATTAAATCGACTATTAATAAACATTTTTTACATTAATTTGCACTTGTAATAGCATCGCTAGAGGGCAGTATTGATTAAACTAGGCGCACTGTACTGCTCATTGGAAATTTATGTGCAGAAAAGCCTCCAGTACAAGCATCCTTGCATTTTTAATAACTGGTCATGGCTTTCACGTCCATTTTTCATCATATCCCATACATGAAAAGTAAATAGTCATTTTTATTGCCATGTGTATTAGATATTGTTATATGTAACTTTAATGCAGGTAAAAGAAGATTCTGTGATATTATTTTTATAAAAAGGAATGTGCATGGAGCTTAGTAGAAGATCTGTGGCATTGATGTTATTGTAAATTATCATTTCTATTAATGAGTTTATTAGAAATAATTATTAAAGTGATAAATATTTATAATAAATTAACATATAGGTTTATTCATATGTTGTTTCGCAGGAGAAATGTTTGCTTTGAAAAATAAATATCTTCTAATTCAGTAGCTGTTAATTCATTAATCTCAGTACAGTATATTTGAAAATAATGGACAGCAAAGATAACCAGGATTTTAACTTAAGTCACTGACTCATTTGTTCTTATTGATTTACAGGTCTCCTGACAAATGCAGCAACACAGAATCCTCGTAGGAGTGGTTTAGGCTCTGTGTGAGCTACTTAGTCAAGTTTCACTGCTGTTGATCATCATTCGTTATATGTCATCAACTCAACTGTCTGTTTCTCTGTATCTCATGAATGACAGCATAATTCCTCTACATTATGAGCTAAAGTTTGTTCTACCATATTAAGGATCACGGGACTAAGGAATCTAGAAAAAGAGATATGCTTGGGCATTAGCAATACAAAAAAGTTCATGGTTAACGTTTCATCTGCGTTATACACCACTGCTGGACTTGCTGTTACCTACATGTTTTAATTCGAAGAGTCTGCTACAATGAAGAGTATCATCCCAGTCAGCCTTAGAGAAGACTGTTTTGCCTATGGGAGGACACTGAGGTGCAAAAGAGAAACTCTTCTTGTGCCCTAAACTGTCTGAATTGCTTTTATTTTCTTATACTTTCAGTATATACAATAGACCAAAGAGCAAAATCTATTTTAAAGTGGACACAATCTTACTGTTAACAGAGTTATGTCATTAAATTGTAGGAGGTCTCCACAAAGACATGATTCCAGCTTTCACAAAGCTGAGCTGTTGTTGTTCAGCAGAAGTCTTTATGGAAAACTGCAGTAAAAACTAACTCAGAGACCTACTCTTGAAATGCCACGTTCGAGAGAACATAATGGAGCACTGAGTTTGAAAAACTTGGACAAAAAGAACACAAACTGTCTACACGGCACCTTTATTCCTCTGTACTTAGATTGACTTTCTCGTACTAAAATCATTTTCAGTTTTAACCAGTTAAACATGCCTCTTCTACAGTTCCATTTTTGATAGTTAAAGTTGGATAATACAGTATTTGCAAAGAGCATGTTTGGTCATCTGTGGCCTGTCTCATCTGAAACACCATTTAGCACCAGAAAGCAAATTAAAGAGAAAACAAAAAGTAACACTTGTTTGAAAGAGATCATTAAATGTATTTTGAAAAGCCTAAAGTTATATATTTAACAGTTTTTATATGTTGTATATTTGTAGAAAATCCTATTTAACAATTAACGTGATAACTCTGACAGTCATGACAAGTGGTTCAGAGTCAAGTTGTGTTTTATTACTTCAGTTGTCTCTGAAGTGACTGGTATCGTTTGCTTTCTTCCATTGGGACATTCTGGATGTAAAGCATGACCAGAGAGGACTGTGTAGAAAAAGCAAAGAATAATGTTGTTTATATTACATAAATGCATTCAACCATTGCACTGTTGGAAGTCATTTTTTATTTTCTTTTATTTTATTTTTATTTTTGTCTTTATGTACTGATAAAAATAGAGTGTAAAATAGTTTACTCATTGCTCTTCATAGCAAGGTTTTTTGCTTTCTTTCTTTTTTTTCTCCCTTTTCTTTCTCCATTTTTTCTTTTTTTTTCCTTTCCTTTCCTTTCCTTTCCTTTCCTTTCCTTTCCTTTCCTTTCCTTTCCTTTCCTTTCCTTTCCTTTCCTTTCCTTTCCTTTCCTTTCCTTTCCTTTCCCTTTCCCTTTCCCTTTCCCTTTCCCTTTCCCTTTCCCTTTCCCTTTCCCTTTCCCTTTCCCTTTCCTTTTTTTTTTGCTTTTCTTCTCTTTTCTTTTTTTTCTTTCATTTTCTTTTTTTTTCTTTTCTTTCCCTTTCCTGTCTTCCTCTTATTTTCCCTTTCTCTCTCTCCCTGCTCTTCTCCCCCCTCAGCCCCCCCTTTATGTAAAAGTCAGTTTGAAGCCTGTTCCCTGATCCCATTTTCAGTGTTTTACCTCATTGTTATAAAGCCCACATTTTCAGCATTATTGATTAGTGAAAATTTAGCAAAGACAGCATAGATGAGGGGGAAATTACGATAAAACAGAGAAACAAACTGTTCCCTTTTTGGTATGCAAGTTTGGTATATATTCGTATGTTGCAATCAACAAGGGAGCTTAATTTCTTCCTGGAAAATGTATTATGGTTTCAAGTATACTACCTAATATTCCAATTAACTTTTAGTGTTATGCTAGTTCTATTCTACTAAAGAAAAATATATAGAGATTGTTCAAGTGACCATAGGTGAAAGGTACAAAAATGACAAGTTGATTCAAGACATTTTTTAAGGCCTGCTCTAATACTGAGGATTAGTTAATGCAGAGGTTGCAGGAAATATGAGCTATAGATCATTTTGTCTTCAAGTAAAATAAATAGATACAAAATTATTATTTAATCTTAGTATTTTGACCAGTGTCAAAGTAGCAATTAAAGCCCAGCCACTTGAAAAGTGTTATGGACTGAATGCACTATAAATGACTAACGTCAGGTTTAAAATGTCATGCAATAAATGATGGTAAATACATTTGCTGTACATGTAGACCTCAAGAGCCAGACCCTCACTCTACCAACTCTCTGTTTTGATTTATTTTAAAGGGAGTATAGTAGCCTTATTTAGCAAACACAGAAAAATTAAAGATGTTACATCATTTTTGTTGCTTTACAGTATTCAGTTTTGTGTTGGTTCAGCTAAATTATGAAAAATAAAGAAAATCCTTTTATAAGTGAGACTTTGTTCCCTGAGCATGACATCACTAAAGGAATTTCACCAGATTATAAGTAAAGAGGGGGCACAGAGAGGAAGACTTAGTGATGGAATGGAAAATTGAGGATATGGGCTGTGTTTTGAAATAGAAGTTTTACCCTTCCCTTTTTCAGATCTGGGGTACTTTTATTCCGGTATGCTCAGTTATACATCAGATGAAGGGCATTTATTTTCTGGAAACCAGATCCCACTAGAGGACCTGGAAAAGGGAATCTGAAAATCTTTAAATCTAAAATCGTACCTTCCGTTTGGTTCTGAATATGCAAGCCTATGTGTTTGTTTTCTGAGTACTTTAAATGCTCAAGAAAAAGTCAATGTACATCATGCATAAGGTCTACTCTGGGCAAGAAATATCAAAGGCAAAATATTCTGATTATTCATCAGAGACAAATTCTAGTTGCTGAGTCTCCTGTGTACAACAGACACTTCAAGGCACTTAAAGTGTGTTTTGTACTTTTCCCTCCTCCTCCAAAATGTACAGTTTTAAACAAACAAAATATACTGGCTGCCTTTGTCACTGTGAATTACTACTCTCAGAGCAGTGGTGAAATGTTTCTCTCTCAGGAACAATGTTTTCAGAATATTGTGAACTTATAATTTTACAAAACTAAGTTACGTATAAAAAAATGTTTGTTTCTGAAATTATTTTATGTGCCTCTTCCAAAGCAAAATTTGAAACACAGAAGGGAATGTCTTATTTGAATGCTATTAAATATCCTTCGTTTCTCAGCTTGCAAACAAGTAACTTTTTGAAAACACACTTGAAAGGGAAAGCAGAATATGGAAAACACATCATAGAGAAATAAAAACAACCTCTAGAAATGGAGTAAACCTTTAAATCTTTTTTGTAAAAAGCTTCTCTGTTAGCCAAGACAAGGACATATTTAACTACTGCTTTAAACATCTGGGATATCAAATGAAGCAAATATTAACACGACAGCAAAAAATATGACACATCATTCACTGATTTCATAATTAGGCTTTGGGTTGGTTTTTGTTGTTTGTTTGTTTTGATTTGCTTTGTTCTTTTCTCCCCAATTCATTTCTTCTCTGCAGCAGCTCAGGTTAAATGCATCCTCAATCATTCACATGTTTACAGAACTGTGCCCACATGCTGTTGCATAAATCTTTAACCCAAGCACTTACTATCTGATATAGCCCATTCATCACAATTGTGACTACTAATTAGAGTTTCCAGAAAAAAATAAAGAACTCAACACTGTGTCTAAAGAGGCTACATAGCTATGAGGTGCAGCTGAACTAGAAGGTGGTAAATCGGTTGGTTGACAGGAAAATCCCATCACTGACTGCCTGGGCCACTGAACAAGTGGAAAGAAAAGCAAAAGCCAACACTGGAGGTAGAAATAAGAAGCCAAAAAATTAAAAAGGAAACTCAAAACTAGAAAAAAAAGAAAAAGGAATTCAAATATTTGTTCAGGGGGAAAAATCAGAACCATCTTTAATTACACAAACCCCTAAACCTACATAATCTTTCCCAATAAAATAAATACAGAAGGTGGCATTTGCTATGAAGCTTCTTTGTATAATTTATATGAATAATAACATGTACACGAGTAGCAACCAAAGGCCAGGAATGTGTTGACATGGAGTGTTGCATACGTCTACACATGCAGTCACTCCATCCACTAAAGGGACAAAGTGAAAGATGACAGGAAAATGGAAGCCGCTGTCACATAACCTTCCAAGACTTGAAACTGTTTCAGATGGAGGATTGAATCAGTAAGATACAGAATATCATTTTCGATGAGGTTTGGAATGGACCCAGTAAAGACTGGGTTAGAACCACCATGAAATAGCCCCAGTTTCTGATTCCCAAGGCAACCTTTGCCAGAACAGGTTTAGTCAGAGGAGAATTCCTCTAGTGGTGAAAACCCTTGGAAGGTGTAAGACCCTCCAACTACCATACTGCTTCCCAGGGAGCACAGGCAACAGGTCACTGTCATTAAAGCCTGTAAGAACCAGTCTCTGTCAGTATAAATTATATCAGCCTGCAGACCAGCTTCTTTTTCAAGGAACTTCAAGGTGGGGTAAGGGTAAAGTGATTTCCAGGTACTTTTATTCCTCCTGCTACAACCATGCAGATACTGCTTCCCAGACATCCTGATAATGGCAGTACATTTGTGTCTGGAATTGAGTAACGATTCTCTGAGGGAAATTATTAATGCAAATGAAAATTGTTTGCCACTTTTGTGGTGAAAATCATAAAGGGTCATCTGATTTCAAGTTGGGGCTTGAATAAGGGAAAGAAGCCAAGAAGGAAACTGAAAAGAAACAAGCCCAGAGAAAACTTAAGATTTTTCATTTCAGAGTATTTAGTACTTATTAAGCAATTTTTAGTGTTCAGTAAGCAGTAGGGGAGCCAAAAGGAATAAAATTTGAAGCAGGGAAATAAGAAAGCAAGTGTTCTAACTGCAGAGATAAGACTTTTACTGATCATATGGCATCTTTAAAGTTTGAGATCCATGGGTAATATATAAAAGGTAAGTCTGTCACTGATTAAAAATAAACTAAAAAATAAGAGAAAATTGGAAGTAAATTACAATAAAGCAGAGTAGAGGGTGACTAATAGTGAGCCATTCTGTGGGAGGATTGACACAAGTTCCTGTAAAGCTCTTGACTATGAATAAAATATGAACACTAAGGTTGCATGGTTTGTTAGTATCAGTAAATCACACACATTAGCAAAGACATGGGAGGCATATGAAGATCTGCAGAGACAAAATGGGCGACAAAATATTACCAAAAGAAAAAAGAAAAGGAAAACTGGAAATTGGGAGTTTCAATATATCATTTGTCTTTCAGATAAAGTCATTGTGGCCTCAGATACGTAAAACTCTGCTCTTGTGAGATCTCACCTGGAGTACTGTGCACAGTTCCAGTGTCCTCAGCATAAAAAGGACATGGAACTGTTGGAACAAGTCCAGAGGAGGGCCATGAGGATGATCAGGGGACTGGAGCACCTCCTGTATGAAGATAGGCTGAGAAAGTTGGGGCTGTTTAGCCTTCAGAAGAGAAGGCTGCGTGGAGACCTCATAGCAGCCTTCCAGTACCTGAAGGGGGCTATAGGGATGCTGGGGATGGACTCTTCATTAGGGACTGTAGTGATAGGACAAGGGGTAATAGGTTCAAACTTAAACAGGGGAAGTTTAGAAAGGATATAAGGAGGAAGTTCTTTACTTTGAGGGTGGTGAGGCACTGGAATGGGTTGCCCAATGAAGTTGTAAACGCTCCATCCCTGGTGGTGTTCAAGGCCAGGTTAGACAGAGCCTTGACTGACATAGTTTAGTGTGAGGTGTCCCTGCCCATGGCAGGAGAATTGGAACTTGATGATCATAAGGTCCTTTCCAACCCTAACTATTCTATGATTCTATATGTGAAAAAGGGACAGATTTGTTTCATTCTGCTCTTGAGAGCGGTAATAATGTTGGTTTGAAGCTTCTCAGTGCCTTTAGTAATTGATTTCGTATGATAAACCTGTACTGGTTATGCCTTTCAGACAAGCCATTGGAGGACCCCTAGGACACATATCTGTAGTCACAAGGCACAAGGTGCTAGTGGCACTGATGTCTTTCACAGCTGGCTTGGACAGACCGTAACCAGTATTTTCTAGGCTCGATGCTGCCAGTTTTAAGCTAGTGAAAGAGAT